ATCCTTTAAAAAATCATACTAGGGCTTATTTTCAGGTTAGGTCTTATTTTTGGAAAAACAGGGTATAACCCCATCCTGCACAAGTTGAATCCCTATCCCTGAGCTGCAGTTTAATAGATCGTGCATACGATATTATGCTCCACGTTTCTTGAAGAGGATATTGTCTGTAGTTGCTGCTTTAAAAAAGCAGGATTAAATATGACAACAAATTAAGCACCTTAAATAGCATATTTTAACAAATTTGCTCAGAAGTAAATCCCATTACATAAAGCACTTACTTTCAGATAAGTGTGCATTGCATATATACCTTTAGCTGGTGGGAAAACTCCGCTTAGTATGGTTTTCTTCTGAGTAAATGTATACAGCATTTTACCTGCAGGTCTCATTTCCTCAGTCAAAAAAGATTTAAGAAAAATCTGCGAAGATTAACAGAACTTCAAAGGGATTAATAGGATTTCAAACTCTATCTTAATTATATCTAGAATCTATTAGCAAGTGCTACATTATTCAGTATCATGTTACTTGTATAACAAGCCCTTAAAATACTGTACAACTAAATGTATGAATCAATGGTCAGACGGATTCTAATGTTCAGAAATTAAAATGAAAAGCCAGAATGGGATGAGGCTAATATTCTCCAGACCATCAGATTCAAGCCATTTATATATTTAGAAGTTAGGAAAATGGGCACATGAAGAAAAGCAGCCTATTCGCATCAATCAGGTGGGGAAGGTGTGGCCTGTTGTATGTTTTTGTACATTAATCTTAGCCAGCATAGCCATGAGGGATCCTGAAGCTACATTCTCGAAACATCTGGAAAGCCACAGTTGCCCATCTCTGGTTTAAACAGAGCTATGCTGGATAGCCTAGTGGTTTAGGTATCTGGCTGTGTGGGCCAGAAGTTTGGAATTTGATTCCCAACTCTGCCTTCTGCAAGTACAGTTAGCCAGCCTGGCCTTGTGCAAGCTGCACAGTCCCAGGACTCCCCCAGAAAGTGTGGGGGGGGTTAATGGTAAATCACTCCTGACTATACCTGGAAAATGCTGAAAAGGGCAACTATAAGTCAGAATTGACTGGACAGCACATGATTGTTATTATGTCACTACATATATGGTTCCTACTGAGTTCTAGTCTAGATGTCACTTCATGCCCAAATAAGACTTATCAAGCCATGAAAGGATGTGTAAGATAAAAACACCCTTAAGAAAATACCTGCCACCTCATGAGGCTATTGCAATAATTAGTTGTGAATGCTAGTTTGAGTAAGGTCAAAGCCACAGGTAAGAGCCTAAGGCCAACTTCAATTAATTGGCTGAAATCCTGTTGCTTAGCATAATAAGTTGCATCTGGAGTAGTCCCATTAAATCACTGGAGATCCAGAAAGTGATCTCCGCAAGTTCCACTAATTTAATGAGCCTAGTGTAGTTTTGACGTCCTATGCCAAGCAACAGGATTTCAGCCGCTATGTATACTGTATACTTGAAAGTAACAGGCACTGAAGTCTGTGGATGTCTTCCCACAGAAATATGTATGGGAAGTACACTCTGAGTCTTCGGCACCGATCTCAAGCATGCTTACTGGCAGGTAAATCTCTGCTGAATTTAATAGGATTGTATCAAAAAAAGTACTGGAACCTGTGGTGGGCACTAACTGGAGCTTTCTTCCTTATATTAATTCCCACCAGAAAGGAAACTTTTTGTCAGCATCACAGCTGGGAAAGAAAGACTTAAGCCTTTCCACACTGTATACAATGTTCTACATTGCTTCCTCCCTGGCATTTAATTTAAAAACAAAAAAAATCCACATAAATCTAAAACAAAATTAGTAATGCCTCAATTTTTACACTAGGCTCAGATTTCTGAACTCTTGTTATCCCGTGTGTGATGGGGTTGTGAGGATTATAAGATAATCATGGTTAAATAATGCTGTTTCAATACTGCCTTGGAATTATGTAGTAATCACATTTTGGGACTGGCAGAATACTGATATCTCTGGAAGATTATGTTCAGCTGTATCGTTTGAAGTTCTGAGATGAAACAAGAAACTTCTTGACAAATATTACATTGAGATTTATCTTCCTCTATAAAGTTACTTGTATGATGGGAAGCCAATCAGATGTATCTTTGGGTTGAACTAGATATATACAGTACATCTTAATTTGTATCTATACCTACAAATGTACGTATACATGTATGTTTGCTTAATAGTGTCTGAGAAAGTGCTGCTGTCGGAAGTTCTGAATGTTAACCTTTCCAACAGAAATTCGGCTGGCACCCTCGCTGGGTGTTTTTAAAAGACAGTTAAAAACTTGGCTATTTAGGCAGGCCTTCCCTCCAGTCAGCTAAGTTTTATTTTATTTCTTCTTTCCTTATCCTACCCCATCTTGGTAATCCTTTCTTAAATTAATTGTTTTTAACTAATATAGTAATCGTATTTTTTTATGATTATATATATTTTATATTGATATATTTTATGTTGTAAGCTGCCCCGAGTAGACATGGTCTAGAGGGGCGGGGTATAAATAAATAAATAAAATAAATAAATAAATAAACCTTGCTTCTCTCATGATCACTGGGAGTTAATGTTCACGCAGATGGCCTATTCATTGGTTTTAATTTATGGAAGAATGGTATTTGATCTACTGCTTTAAAAATCTCTGAAATTAGAGCAGATTTAGCATAATTCCAATGAACTGTAGTAAAGAAAAGAAGCAAGCAGCACATTTTGAAAAGTGCAATATGCACCAGTTCCTCTTCTCTCAAGAATGAGTGAACACAATAGGTATAAGCTCTATGTAATATTTGGGGTGGGGGCGGATTTTGACATGCTGCAGAAATTGGCTTAGAAGGACCTATGATGCTCAGCCTTGAACAAGCTAATATGTTTTACTGATTGAAGAGAAAATATGGCTCCAAATTACAGTACTCCTAAGCAGGGAAATAGAATGAATGTGTGGGTGAGTTCCCTGAAGCCCAGCTATGTCTTACATTGCAATCTTTTATCTCTTTCAACTCCTCAAATTAGTGAATTCAGATTGTGCTGTTAGCTTTTCTCTACAAAAGAGGTAGCATATGCTTGCCTCTCCAGACGTGGTTGGACTGCAGCTCCCATCACCCATAGCCATCAAATCCAGTGATGAGGGTGAAAATCCTACAACATCTGGATGACCACATATTCTCCACCCCTGCTTGAGAAAGCATATCCCGCTTGCTGTTGGAAAGGGTGGGAAAGTCACTATTTTTCTAGTCTGAGGTTTTTCCAGTATATGGCTATGTTTTATCACCAGGAATGACCGACATAAAGGCAGCTTTGTATACGAGCAGCAAAACTCCAGATTCTGATCAATGGTAAATATAACAAGTTTCATGCTGGTAAAAACAAGAAATTGAAGCACAGGTCTTGCACATACGCGTGTGAACATATATACATTCGAAGAATGGATTCTCTTCTGTTTTCCACGACAATACCAAACTGAGTGAAGAATACACTGCACTGGGTAATAAGCCCAATCACTCTTCCTGAATAGGCATTCCTATGTACCGAGCATTCTTATTACTCTGATTAACATGGCTGTCAATCCCCCACCAGCAAGTCTATTTCTCCTGAATTGCTACTGACCTTTTCTGCAGATTAGGCAGAGGAGTGGTAGCAGTTTTTGTGAGTGTAAGAGATAATCCATCTCTGGGGCTTCTCAGTCAGATTTTCCCCAGGCTTTTTCGTTCATTTCCATCCATCAATCACTTCTTAAGTACATTTCTATTCTGTCTGTGAGGAGGAAGCAGCTATCCTGAGGGAGGCCCCTCATTCACCCCCTCACTCCCTCAGCATTTGTCTCTTTGGTAACAATGACAGAACAAGAGCCATCTCATCTGGAACAGATCTGAGCTCCAGTATTTCACTGTTTCCTCTGAAGTCTTCCACCAAGATAACGAAGGAACAATCTTCGTGCCACTGTTATTTGTACATGTAACAATATCTACAGGAGACAGCATGACGTTCACCAGTCTATATAAAACTACTATACCTAAATCTAGGCAGTGGAAGACAGGAGGGCCTGGCGTGCTCTGTTCCATGGGGTCACAAAGAGTCGGACACAACTTAGCAACTAAACAACAACATACCTAAATCTAAATATAAAGCCCTCCCATTCTTTGCAGCCCTGGACCTCCTTGGTCTGTGCAGATTTTGGTCTAATAAGACTTTCTTACCTGCCCTGCTACACTGACCAAAGACTTTTGCTGGCTCAGGAAATGGTTAAGATGATGTCCAGTTCTTTTCTATTTAATGTCCAAAAACGAAATGAATTGGCAATTCTATCTTATTTTCAATGCTAACAGTAGGAAGCTGAGAGTTGTAAGGCCTTTTTTTTCTTGTAGGATAAAACAACATAATGTTTATATTGATTCTGCCAGCACAAAGTAGAAAGTGAGAGGCTGCAGTGCTGGGGAGAACACTCCCTCTTCCCCTTTAGAGAGTCAGCTGGAGGAAAACCTGATCCATGTTGAGAACACTCCCACATATGTCATCACAGCTGATGTCAGGAGAGTTCTAACTGTACATACTCCTCAGCAAAAAACAAAGTTATCTGAGAGAAACAGACAGAGATAAGAAGATCTGGAATCAATTGCACTGCCTAGATAGATAGATAGATAGCTAGATAGATAGATAGATAGATAGATAGATAGATAGATAGATAGATAGATAGATAGACAGACAGACAGACAGACAGACAAATAATCTCCAGTTCCCAAGCAAGAAAAAGCAACAACCCTGAAATAGAAGGGAAGTAGGCTTTGATTCAAATCAGTGGTAATGCCATGCAGATAGATTCATGGGCAACTGAATCCCTTAGACAGGATCAAACTGTGTGTGGATAAACTCTTGCTTTTCAGACATTTTGTAAAATTCAAGCTTCACACAGCATTGCTTCCTTCTATCATCCACCCCATCCCACCCTCTCACAAACACACAAGCTGAGCACAGATTGGTGGAGTCCGTACCTGTCGTAATCTCCATTGCACAAGGCTCGCACCGGAATTGAGAAGGACTGCCACACAGGATTCAGAGTGTTCTTCACAACTTCTGTTTTATGGCAGATGGTAAATCTGAAGGATACAAATGGCCAGCTAAATTACAAATCAATCCCAACTGGAGTCTGGCTTGGGCTAGACTCGGAAGAACAAAGTAGAAGAAATCTCATTAAGTCCCAGCCTGCTGAAATTATCCATCTCCAAACTACCATGGACTGGGAAATACGGACACAAAGTTGGATCAAGACTAAAATGGATTAGTACTTTAGAAGTTGTAAAAGCAGGCCTTCTCTGTCTGCACACAGCAGGAATTAGCACTTCCTTTACTTACTATTAGTCCATCACAGAGGATAAACCTGTACTTGCATTTTGCATGGTACCTTTGTTCATACGCTTCCTGTACCAGCAGTGCCATCTCCTGATCAGAGAACTTGGAAAATTTATCTTTTTGGACATCAGAATCCTCTAGTCACCATAGCCAGTGGTTATGTTTCCAGAAAGACTTCAGGAGCTGTAGTCTAGAAAATAAGTTTTCCAAGAGCTAGTCCAGTTCCCCTGATCCTTTTTGTGATCTACTTATTTGAGTTGCACCAGATAAAAGATTTTGAGGGGATAATTTCTCAGCAACTTTGCATAAGTGCATGTACTAGGCCTACAGGGAAAGCACACTAGGCTGTCAATCACATATTTTTAAAGGACAACAAGGGTCAAAAAATGGAAGAAGAAGGATGGACTAATTTCGCAGCATTCAAGTGATGAGTATGTTGAAAGGTGCTTTCCCACCCTGACTGAGTTTAACACTCACTCTTCCATTTCTTATCTTTCCCACCTTGCTTTAACAGCATTTTCCAGAAGTGCTGATTCTTCCCTAATTCTGCAAAATGATCATATTTTTAGAATGCTAGGTACAGAATGTTCTAGAGGAGGTGTCCACACTAAGTATTCTCGAAGGCATCCACACTAAGTTGTCATGTAGCAGATAGAGACATATTACCCGGCCTTGTAAATATGCACACAAAAGTAACTAGCCTGGCACTTTTGAAAGAAGCCTTCTAAGATGAAGTAGCTGGTACTTCTGTACTGAGTGCAAGTTCTCATCAGTCTGCTCCTGGAACACCCAGCCTTTGGCCGTGCTCTGAAGGCAATCAGGCAGCTGGTGGCAATTGGAAACAATCTGCTCCTAGCCACCATAATCTTCAACTTCTTTTGAGCTACCTCTCCCCCTTGTAAGCATTCCTTTGTGTTTGTGATAGGAGATCATGTGACACTGAATGGGTACTGGGGGCTGTGTCACCACCTCTAACACCCCATTACCTGTGGCAACCATCTCACCTCAGCTAATGGCCAGACTGGCCCTGGCCAGGATAAACAGGATCAAATGACCAGGACTTCTTTATTAGCAAGGATAATGACAAGATCTGTCTTGCCACTTCTTCATCAAGTGTCTTGGAGGGACTTCTTCCAGGTGGAATGTTTATTGGGCATCCTACTGGAAATTTACAGGAGGTCTGGACAACAAAGTTTTCATTGTTTCTTCCACCTTCTTCTCCACCATAGAAAATATCTTAAGGAAATGAGGGTGGGGGGGAGACAGAACAACTGCATAGGGTCTTTTGTAGGAGCCTTCTGTCTGGGAGTATGGCACAAAGATCACACTGGCATACAAAAATCAATGCACCTGTCTACATTTCTGGATTCTCCTTGTGAGTACGGCTATGGAGACTTTTCTGATAAACACTTGTGCTTCAAAAGTTACCACCATGCCAATGGATCTGCCCCCCCCCCCGCTAGCCTGCTGTATTTTCATATTGTACACAAAGAAAATTGCAACCCTTTCTCTGTACACAGCATGGAAATCCAGCTAGCTGGTAGAGCAGGGATGAGAATCCTTTCCACTTCTACCAGCCCACTCACTTGTTTGCAACTGAAATTCGTGCTTATATATACTCATCAGTCAAATTGTTAAACACAAGGGTGAATTATAACAATAAAAAGTTACTACCGATTTCATGAACTCCTATTATAAATGATGGTAAGCATGACTGAGATGATAATCAACGCACATTAGCAGCATTCTCAGTAGTCTGCTCTACAGATGCTCTTGTATGCCATAAATTAGTATTCTCTAGGCATCCTAGCTGCCTAAGTGATTTGTTGGTATGTTACTGGTTAGAATGAACAACTTGTTTGCTGTTCTACAGAGCCATTCCCTAGCAGTGTAACAGACAAACAGATCAGTCACATGAGGGATGTGGTTCTTGATGCATTAGAAGGGCATTCTTTATCAAGGGAATGTTTAACGTTCCTTGGTAAGACCTGTTTGATGAAACCTTTCAGTAAACATCAGTGAATCTGAATTCTGTTGTGAAAGCATTGATACTTACGTGCCATCCTCATTACTTCTGTAAAATACCATGAAGGGGTCGGATTTTCCAAAGAAATCTTTCTTATCCAGCTTGTTGGCACAGAACTGCATTGTGGCCACATCCTTGAAAACAGAAGCAGAAAACATGGCATTGACTATACTGCTGAAATTACATTATGATACTTGTTTGTGCATAGAGAAATTATGGCAAAAACTGCACCAACAGGAACCCTTGGGACTGAAGGTCACCACTGGAAGACATGCCAACAGGTAATAAAAATGGTTAGAATAGCAAAGACCCAGACCAGAAAAACCCAGGGGAGCGTGTCACTCCTAGCACCTAAAATTTAATATTGCATCTAAAAATGTAGACCTATTGCTCATTCTTGGACACATTCAACTATGGTACTTATGAATTTTCCTTTTCCGGTAAATACATGGAAATTTTAAACTGAAGTAGGCAAGCTAAATGCAAACAGTGCCACAGATAGTGGTAGGTCATATTATTTTTGTATCAGATAAATGCTCCAGTACTCCTTTGTGACCCTCTGCAGGTTAATGCAATCCAATTTCTTAGGAGTAAAGCAACTGGCTGCTGTTGTTATTCAGAAAGCAAGAATGATGGACTTGGGTCTCCATCATGGTCTATTGATTTCTTAAAGGCCTAGCAACATCATTTTTGCTTTTAATGAGAGCTCCTACAAGATGACTAGCTGTAGTACATATAGATTACATTATTAATAGAGCAGGTAAGCCATCACACTTAAAGTCCTGACTCCACAAACGTTCAACAGCTTAAAGAATGTAGATGTAGAAGAGGTAGATGTGTTGGCCTGTGCAAGTATTATAGGTAAAAACAAAATAAGAGTTTTGTTTTTATACATACATATTTTATGTATGTATGTATGTATGTATGTATGTATGTATGTATGTATGTATGTATGTATGTATGTATGTATGTATGTATGTATGTATGTATGTATGTATGTATGTATGTATGTATGTATGCATGCATGCATGCACGCATGCACGCATGCATGTATATGTATGTGTGTATATACATATGCATGCATACATACATACATATACATACATACACACACACATATCTTTTTTGTTTTATATAACTTATTTTGTTTTTATCTATAATGCTTGCGTATATATATAAAAGAACAAATAAAAAGACAAAATCATGGTGGCATCTTAAAGACTAACTTAAAGAATGTATTTATTTGCACATTTGTGATGCAGTGGCCAGTAAAGATGGTTCCTTCAGGACCAGCCCTATCATTAGGCAGAGTGAGGCTACTGACTCAGTTGGCAGGTGCTGGGATGCAACAGTGACAGACTGCCAGTTGCCAGTTGCACTACACATTCTAGTCTCCCTAAATGAGTCTTAATGCCATAAGTATATGGGAGGGCAGGGGTGGGGGGTGGGGCTCTTCTATTGTCAATGTTGAAGTTAGATTGAGCTGCCAGTCCAGCCAGCTGATGTACATGGAATTAGAAGGCAGATTGTTGTCTCCTTTGTCTGTTTTCATTGCACATTTTATTTTATTTCACCTTAAATCAGCCACAATACAGTAGGAGTGCACAATCCTTCCATTCCTCTTTTCCGTTCTCCGCTAGTAGAACTGCAGACAGTAAAGAGATGTGTCCCCCTCCCCCCAATCCTCCCCTTCAAGAGGAAAGGAGTGCCTCTCTATGAGCACTTGATCTGTTTAAGGATGTCCGGCTGAACAAAAAGGAAGCACACGGTTTCAATTTGCTCAGTTCTCTTCCAGCTGTTCTTGCCTCATACTGTGCTTCCAGGCAGGTCTCCACTTGTTTTGGTTCTCAGCTGCCCATCTGGATGGTACTGGATGCTAACAATTATCCGGTGTTTTTTTGGGGGGTGGGGGAATTTAAAAGAACTGCAGCAGCTTTCCCCAACTCACTGCATTCCACATGTGTTGGACCAGCACTCTCCATAGCCTTCTTGGCAAAGGATGATTGGTGTTGTATTCCAACATGTCTGAAGAATGTCAGACTAGGGAAAACTGCAGTAAAGAGATTCCGGTTGAGAATAAGAGATGGGGAGCTAAAAGGCAGCAACAATCCAACTGCAGAGAGATAGCTCAACCCTTTCAAATGCTGAAGTAGCTGCATTATTCAAATGCATTTTGTTTTAACTAGGGTTGTTTTAACACAGTGTAACTGTATACGTATTAATATTAATATCTTAATTTTCTATGATTTTGAGCATGTACTATTTAGCTGTTGTATGCCACCTTATGTCTCTTCACTGAAAGAAAAGTGGGATTAGAATAGAATAGAATAATTTATCCCAAGGGCTGAAAACCAGCTGTGCTACTTATACCACATATCACTAATGGCATCAGCAGTTGCAGCAGTTCTTCAGAACACACACCCCCAAAGGGTTCTGAGATTTGCTTGGGATCTCTTTCATAGTTAGGAAGCCACTGGGGCTAGACAATAGTAAAGGTTTCTCTTGACATTTAGTCCAGTAGTGTCTGACTCTAGGGTGTGGTGCTCATCCGTGTTTCCAAGCCATAGAGCCAGCGTTTGTCCGTAAACAGTTTCCGTGATCATGTGGCCAGTGCGACTAGACACAAAATACCATTACCTTCCCACTGATCTGGTACCTATTTATCTACTAGCAGTTGCATGCTTTCGAACTGCTAGGTTGGCAGGAGAGGCTAGCCAATAAGGGCAGTTAATTAATTTATGAAAATCACCACTGGCAGGATGATTTTACCAGCACTGTCAATAATTTTCAGACATTAGAGTCATAACCATACCACACCCCAAACGACTTCATACAATGAAAGGAATCCCAAAACAGCCTCAAGGTCTTTGCAGTGGGCTAGAGAGAACTGAAAATTTTTAATTTCTGAGAAACTGCTGCAGGTGATGATGTCATCCTTATGTGGTGCTAAGTGACACTCCAGGATCTCGGCTTCTATGTGCACATGCTAGAGAGCACCAGTTTCCTGCATTGACACCTGCAACACTAGTATCTGTAGCAATCAGTGGGAAGGAAAATCAGCTAGAGAGGAAACAGCAACATGAGACAGCAGGACGAAGAATAATGTTCTAACAGTCCTCAGCCGCAGTGACACTGAAATACATATACTTGTTCAAAATATCAAGGATATATGACATGCCTTCTTTGCTTGCTTATTGCCAATGAATTTGCTGGTTCAGGTGATACAAGTGTGGACAACTTTTTTCCTACTCCTGGGTGAACTCCCTTGTGGCTACTTGGTCAGTAGGAGGACAGTACATACTGGTTGTGGGTGGGGCCAGGACCAGAGATGGGTGGGTCACTTTCCTCTTGGTTTCTGTTGCCCCTTCATCTTCTTCTCTCCTGTTCTGCCAGCAGGAAGGGACAGATTACTCTAATCAGAAGTGTGCCTGCTTGCAGAAGGCTTCTTAAATTAGGTTGAGGTTGCCCACCCTAAGGTAAAAGACACGGCATCTCAGTCCGAGAGGATGCCTCCAGGGATTTTCAATTGCACAATAAGCCTTAGGGACCGTGATGAAATAAAAGAGACAAGGCAGCGGAAATGCAGAAGAATTTATCAGCACAGATACAGAACCGAGAACTCAAAGGGCTCTCAGGTAAGCAGGGCACTCAACCACAGAACTGGATCTTGCGCAGTCCTGCTCCCTGAAGAAATGTATTCAATCGAGAACACCATGTACAAGAGGAAAACCTACTGGTTCTGATCTGGGCACAAAGTGTAATGTTACAAAGATCAAAGGGCAAGTTATCCCTTCACAAGGAGACTTGCCTAATTGGACAGAGTGTCTTGCATGCTGCGATGAGCAAGAACTTGGCTGTCAAGGCCCAAATGAAGCATGGAGTGTGTGTTACCTCAACAAATGGCTGGAATGTTTGGGCTATGGCTCCCAATATCATCTAGCCGGGACATTCTGGGAATTGCATACCAAAACAAAATGAAGAACTCTTCGCCCACCTGCTTCCCCATCTCTGGTTACTTTAATGCCTCAATGGTAACTCCTGTGACATATTTAAAGCCACCAGCTCAGTGGCATCTCTGCCACCGCAGCCCCCTTCACTCCCAAGACTTCTTTTTACAGGTTTTCTAACAGAGTTTGGATGCCCATTTATCAGGGTCACTCTCAGTATGGAGGCCCATCAATGCCAGGGCAGCTACACAAGAAAGAGGACCCTTGAGATCCATTCCAACTCTACAATTCTATGGTTATATGATTGGATGCAACAGCCAGGACACTCTGAAATTATGGCTGTAGGGTATCCTCAATCCAGCAGCCTGAACTGAAGCTAGTCTCATTCTAGAGTAAATAAACTAGCCATTGTTGATTCAGAGTATACTGTATTTACATGGGGACATCTGTCCCCATCCATCCCGGTCGGATGCAAGAGCTGCCTTCTCACCATCATAGCATAGGTGTCCCAGGGGAAAAAGTAGTGACATGTGAGGAATGCTTCAATAGTTTATTCTTTGCAGATTCTGATGCAAACAGAACAGATCTGCACCTCTGCTGCTGCATTTTTGCAATAATCCAGGCTTATAAAGGCCTGCTAAAATATGCTAAAATGCTTACTTTAAGAGAAAATGCATCATGTACATTTAGAAGAAATGTTTATAAATGTAAAATTTGTGAGCAAATTTATTGGAAGCCAGCTATTTATATTCGTTTTTGAGCAGATTTCTGTAAAAACAAATCCCTCAAACCCTTGTGTCCTAACGTGAAACAGAATGTGAGACAGATTGGACTTAGGGAAAAAAAACACAGAACCGACACCGACTAGAATACAGGCTGCTCTGTCTCCAATGAGGACTTGACCCCATTTGAGGCAGAGAGGGTAGCTCAGTAAAGAGATTAAGGTGAGCCAAAGCCAGTTGGGTTGAAACAATACTTTGGCAAAACCTACATGAGTCTGTGTGACAGTGTGACAAGGAAGAGCAGCATCAGAGAGAGAGAGAGAGAGAGCTTTTGTTGCTCAGGTCAAAGAAGCAACTTGGCCTGCAAGCTTGCCCAACAGCACTGTTGGTAATAAGATGCACACCCTGGAAATGGCAGCACTCTCCTGTCTTGGGAGTGTGTTCACTGAAAACACAGGGCACTTG